AATGCAGTCCAAGATTACTAATTCTGCAGGGGAAGGACAGGGTCTGCTTCAGACTAGTGGGCGGGAGTAACCATGGCCTGTGCAGGATTGCCCATCCTGGCAACCCCTTCTCAATTCAGTGACATCTAAGAGCTAACCTGAGGCCCTGATGACAGTCCTGTGTAGGATTGGCTGTGCAGACATAAAGATATGGGTTATCAGTGTCTGATTCAGCAGTTTCCTCAGCATCTCATGCCTTGGCTGCCAGATGGGCTAAGGGCCCACAGCTCCCATCAGCTGGGCCACAAAACTCTGCTAGGATGAGGTCTTTCTTTTCTATCTGAGGTTTTCAGAAGGCCTTGTGATTGGGACAAGATTTGCCTTGTCTATCTGCAGCCATTTAAAAAGTTACTAAATCTGGGCTCCCTTTAAGCTCAATACAGAGAAGCTCATAGAGAGGGAAAGTCATGTCATGCTAAGGGAGACATCTTTGACAGGTAAGGTGACCTATTCTCTGGAGGCAGCCTGTGGTCTGCAGAATTTTTAGAAGATTGAAGCTAGGATCTCTTTGACCTGAACAATTCAGCTGTCCAGGGAGAATGAGCCAGTTTTGTGAATGTGCAGGAGTAAGACCCTGCCCTCAGAGAGTCTTGGTGCTCTGGAGCAAGGTCTGGGTGATTACTGTGGGGTATGGGGTATAGGTAGTCTAGTCCAAGTGCCCAGCAATGAGCAGGGACATATTCAACTAGAGCAGGTTGCTCAGAGCCCGGTCCAACCTGGCTTTGAATGTTTCCATGTGTGGGGCATCTACTGCATTACATGCTCCAAAACAGCTGCATCAGGGCTGAGGCCATTCTCTTTTTCTGTGATTTTCCAGGAGCTCATCTGAATGCTGCCATCACTTTTACACACTGCATTTTAGGAAACCTCCCTTGGAGCAAGTTTGGAGCTTATGTGTTCGGCCAGTTCCTGGGATCCTTTTTGGCAGCAGCCACTGTTTTTGGCATCTACTATGGTACAGTTGTGTCTTTTGTCACAGGGATGCTGTAGGCACCATTTCAGTCAACTCAGTTTGTCAAATATGTATGCTTTTACAGCACCCAACATGATTTCTGGGTGAGGAGGGCAAGCTCCTGGCCTGTGGGACAGACTTCATAGCTCAAGGTCAAAGCAGGTCCCAGATATATCTGGGAAGGAGATGCAGTTGTGGAGAACACAACTACTTTTGCTCAGGGCATTTCCACTGCCAAACCCTGTCCTCTGCTGAAGGGCAGTAGCTGTGTTTTGTCAGCATTTTGTTTCCAGGTCTGCAGGGGATCGAGTGACATGAAGTACTGTATATTAGGCACAGCTGGACCTCCGCCGGACTCTGTTAGTCTGTGGAAAACAGGACAGCAGTCATAGGGGGTTTTGAGTTATGAGAGGAGGACCCACCACCTTGTGTATCCAGTATGTCTCAATCTTTAAGGGGCAGAGGACTGGAGGCCTCTAGTGCATCCAGACTGCTCCAGGCTCCTGGAGCAGGGATAGGGAGCTGGTAGGCATAAGGATGCTACTGCAGACCAAAGCCTGTGGGTAACAGATATAAGTGTGATCACACCCTGCAAGGAGTGTGCCACCTCCATCCAATCTTCCATTGCCTCTCTTCCCCTCGGTGTCCGGGCTGGTTGCAATGAGTGGACTTGTGTATGGGTCCTGCAGGATGAACTCAGTGCTAACTTCTGTAATTCCCACTTTTCCTAGATGCTTTGTACGACTACTCCAAGGGGAACTTTACAGTGACAGGACCAACTGCCACGGCATCGATCTTCTCCACTTATCCTGCTTCCAATGTATCCTTGACAGGGGGCTTCTTCACAGAGGTCAGTGGGGATGGCTGTGGGGTACTAGGAGAAGGTGGGTGGTAACAGATGCTACTACAGGTCTGCTACAGGTTACTTACAGCCCTACATGCACAGACACAGTAACAACCTCTTCTCTGAAGGGACCAGCATACAGGGAAAGGCCTGACAGGCAAGATCCAAGGCACCTTGGCAGCTGACCGATTCTGAAGGGTTATGCCTGCAGACTGCTCCAAATGTCTTGGAGCACCTGTTGCTTGGTTCAAGGGTCTTCCAGACACTTCCCCTGAGTGCAGCACAGGCAATGGGAAGTGAAAAGCTGAGCTAGATCAGCAGCCATCTTCTTTGGGTTCTGGGCAGTTCCCTGTACTGTTATTTCCCTTTTTGGATTCTACACCCACTCCATGCTCCTAGGCAGCTGTGCTTGCTGCCTCTCCCCAGACTAGGGAGCCTAGGACTGCCTTCACAATGAGCACAGGCCAGACTGAACAGTCCAATTAAGACTGCATACAGTTGATTCCCACCATACAGCACAATGTCCAGATGCCCAGAAATAGAGAGATCCTTCAGGGGATGTGGAGCACTGCGACACCAGAGAAGGAAGATTCACTTTCAATGCAAATTTTAGGAAGCCTGTGATTTTTACTCTGAGCTGACAAAACACTTGCCTGGGCGTCATGAGGAAGGTGAAAGCTGAAGAGCCTACAGGGGGCGCTGGATCACTCAGTCTCCTATGGAGCAGGCAGTGTCCTTGCTGCACAGGAAAGCAAATGACTGTAACAGTGTGTTGCCAAGAGCTGCAGAGTTTCTGCTTTTACCGGTATGTCTGCAAGCAATCCAAAGCTCTCTGGCTGCATTTTCTGAAGCAAAAAGAGACAGGAGTCACCACTTCTATTCAAACCATGGCTCTTGATGTCCTGAGTGCTGCAGATCTACAAATGCCAGCAATGTACTACGACTGATGGGTGATTCAGTTTCCCAGATGAGAGTCTGGTATTTGCTTTTAGTCTCAAAATGCAACAGGCTGTATAAAACATCACTCCCTCTAGGCAAGATCAGACAGGTCTCAGCAGTTTGTTATGGCTCTGCCTCTGTTAGACGAAATGTGCTTAACCCATTTCCTTAACTTGAAAGGTGAAGGCAGAGAACATTCCTCAGAAGGTTATATTAGTCCTAGAGCACTTTTGGTGATGAAGTGAACACATATTTGCTGAGAAAAGAGCCAAGAATTTTCTTCAGTACACCTGTGAGGAGGGAGTAACACTTGAGTCCTCCCTGCCTTGCTCAGACCATGAATCCCATCTGCTCTTTCATTCTGGGAAGTCATTTCCCCTTTGCTGAGTAGATTCTTCCACCTTCCCCACTCTCTCTCCTGACCTGTTCTCCCTTTTCTGTTTCTGCAGTTTGTGGCAACAATGATGCTGATCCTGGGCATTCTGGTCATCCATGATGAGAAAAACAATGGAGCCCTACAAGGCACACAGGCACTGCTCACGGGGATGTTGGTCCTGGGCATTGGCCTGGGAATGGGGATGAACACAGGCTATGCCATAAACCCCTCCCGAGACCTGCCCCCCAGGATCTTCACAGCAATTGCTGGCTGGGGAATGGATGTCTTCACGTGAGTGACCTGTTTTGCTTTTACACTGCTCAGGTTGCAAGGAGAGGAGATAAGCCCAAGATAAAACAGTCATTAAGCCTTTTTCTCTGAACCAAGAGATGGTATCACCATTCTTGGAGACCAGAGGTTGTGTCTAGAGGAGCCCTGTGCATTATCTACACAAAACTTGGGGTACACTAATTTTCCTGCATTCAGGATTCACCTTGATACTCAGATACCTCGGTTTGGGCACCAAATTGGCTAACTCTTCACTGCAGATCTAGCTGGTTATTGCAGTGACTGAAGAGCCAGAATGCATTCAGCTCACCTGAAAGCAGGTACTTAAAGCTGGATAACTGTCCTGAATTTAGGTGTCTGAATCTGGCAATGAAACCCTGCCTTCCTCTATCTAGTAAGATGGTGCCATACTATGGCTTTTCCTATGGGGAGGTCATTAGCAAAGTCTCTTGTCCCAGATGCCCATTTTCCTTAAATTTCCAGAAAATACATTTGAGAGCTTGGTAGAGGTGCAGTTGCTACTGGAAATGGGGAGGGAAAGCATGTGAGTCTGTCTGATAGTCACAGTCATCGAGGTCATGTGGACTATTTCTTTTGGAGAACAAGAAACTTGCAGACAGTGTGGAGCCACATTTCCATGCTGATGGGGAAATGACCTGCCCTCCAGCAATTATGTAGTGGATAGCAAATTTGTCTAAGCCAGTTGTAGGGCCCAATATATGAAGAGGGACAGACACTTCTGCTCATACTGCTCACTCCTGCCCCAGCAGACTCAGCTCACTGCACCCAGAATGATGTTGTGGCAGGGTAGTGGTTCCAGTTTGGCTCACCAGCTCTCTCTTCTGTGTTTCATTTTTTAGGAGTAGATATTACTGGTGGTGGGTCCCACTCATAGCTCCAACTCTGGGATGTCTTGCTGGTGTTTTAATCTACAAACTCTTTGTTGATTTTCACAACCAACCTGCCCTGAAAAATGAAAATGAGAAAGAACAGACAGTCGTGGAGACTGACACACTGTGATGACCACCTCCTTTGATGACAGGCGTGAAGAGCACACCATTTGTCCGCCATGCAGGTGGACAGATGAGGGACTAGTCTTCAGTAAACCTATTCTGCTTAACCAGACAAAATCGGTCTCTGAGATACTGGGCAAACCTGGGCAGGGCTAGACCTGACTGTGACCTGACAAAATTATTCAGTCTCCCTGTGTAAAAATCTACCAAAAAAAACCCCAAAACCCATCACATTCTGAACAAAAGCAAAGCAGAGCTGCAAGACTCCAGAAACCTATATATTCATATAAATCAAAACACAGGAGTCAACAGTGGCAGGAACAACACGACTAACTTAACACAGAAATTTTGATCTGGAATATCCTTTGGTAAGAGGTAGATACTACACTAATAGACTAGGGTCCTAGGCTTGCTTCCATTTGCATACCTGCCACCCTAACAAACACCTAGTTTGGCACAGCACAGAAAAGAGAAGAGTAAGAATAATCTAAAACATGAACCTCTTGGTTTGTTTTTTTTTTTTCATGCTTGGTTTTTGATCTGAACATTCAGGAAGCACCAAAAAAATTAGTAAACTAAACTACAGGGTCTCCTGAATTTAGTCACAGCTTTGCTGGAACACGCTGGCATCACAAAACCATGTGTTACTGACAGGCTAGACTTGAACTACCACCAACTATCACCGTATGAAAGAAGTCAGACAACTTCTGTGACAACATTCCCACAAACTCAAACAAAAAAACCCAAATACCTTTTTTTTCCACTCTGAATGCATGAGAAACATGAGAAGGGGTTAACATGCTGCTGCAGGAATTCTGCCACCTCCATCTTGAATGAGGAAGTGGGCCTGAAAGAGCCTTACAAGTTTGAGGTGTCATTGGATTAAAAGTAAAACACTGTCAGAAGCTGCCAGTCCCCAGGTGGTGACAACAGTCTTAACTTTCCAGAAAGTGATTAAGCAAGTATGGTATGTATGTCAAGCACATAACCACAGTCCCATGGCTGGGTGCCATGAATACACAACACAGAGATCTGCAAGAATAGGAAGTGACAGAACATCCATGGTCAACAGGACCAGGGAGGTGATTCTTTCCCTGTACTCGGCGCTGGTGAGGCCACACCTTGAGTACTGTGTGCAGTTCTGGGCCCCTCAGTTCAGGAAGGATACTGAAGTGCTGGAGCAGGTCCAGAGAAGAGCAA